TGGCGCTGTAGCTCAAGTGGTAGAGCGCTCACCTTGAGCTGAAGAGCTGAGGGACAGCGCCCAGGCCCAGAGTTCAAGCCCCACGACTGACAAAAAAAAAAAAAAGCATGTCCCAAATAAAATGGGGCAAGGCCCTGGGTAACTGGTAGGGCACAAAGGGAGAATAATAGAGGCTCAGAGCTGTTTCAAGTCTCATGTGCAGTGGTTCTGGAAGGAGGTACCTGGTGCTGGAGTGTGCAGGGAAGGTACTTCTCAGGGGTTCTGGAAGGGCACCTAGAGGTTTACAGACACATAGGCACTGGAGATGGCGTAGGGAGCTGGGGAGGGAGGGAACTGATTTCATCTATCATGTGGGCAGGGGAATATTTAAACTCAGGCCTCACTATAGCCTGTGGTAGCCTGAAACTCCTGTCTTCCAAGAAGGCATGTCCCACCATGCCAAGTCTAGGACTCACTTTGTGTGTACGTGTGTCATGGTACTGGGACTTGAACTCAAGAGCTTGGGCACTGTCCCTTAGCTATTTTGCTCAAGGCTAGAAGCTTTAACACTTGAACCATAGCTTTGCTTTCAGCCTTTTTTCTTTTTGGTGGCTAGCTGGAGATATGAGTCTCACCAAGGCTCCTGCTGCTTCAAATCACAATCTTCAGATCTCAGTCTCCTGAGAAGCTAGGGTTATCAATTAGTGTGAGCCACCAATGCCAACGCTGATGCCTGGCATATGTATGTCTTCAAAAATATAAGTCTCGGGGCTAGGAAGATGGCTCAGTGGTACAGCGCTTGGTTTGCATGCCTGAGGCCCTGGGTTCGATTCCTCAGCACCACATAAGTAAAATGAAAAAAGCCGGAAGTGGCGCTGTGGCTCAAGTGGTAAAGCGTTAGCCTTGAGCTGAAGAGCTGAAGGACAGCGCCCAGTCCCAGAGTTCAGGCCCCACGACCCCCCCCAAAAAAAATGTAAGTCTGTTGGGTGCTGGGGTTCACACTGATTGATAATCCTAGCTACTCAGGAGGTTGAGATTTGATCACTGCAGTTAGAAGCCAGCCTTCCAGTAAAGTATGTGAGACTTATCTCCAATTAACCACCAAAAATCTGAAAATGGAGCTTTAGCTCAAGTGATAGAGCTAGACTGGAACAAAAAAACTCAGGGACTGAACCTACACCCCAAGTTCAAACCCCAGGACTGGCACTAGGGAAAAAAAAAGAAGAAGACATAAATTTAGTCAAAAATATAGTATTATAAGTATAACAAGGGGCTGGGAAGGTGGCTCAATGGTAGAATGCTTGCCTCACATGCATGAGGCCCTGGGTTCAATTCCTCAGCATCACATAAGCAGAAAAAGCTTGAGCACTGTGGCTCAAGTGGTACAGCACTAGCCTTGAACTGAGGGACAGCAACCAGGCCTAGAGTTCAGGCCCCAGGACCGACACAAAAAACAAAAAAATGGGGCACCATGATACACATTTATAGCTTAGACTAATAAGGAGGTATGGTGGGGGAAAAATCACTTGATTGTGAATTTAAAACCAGCCTGGGAAACCTAGTAAGGCTGTGAAAAAAAAAAAGAGTCAGGTACCAATAGCTCATGAGTTTAGTAATCCCATACTCAGGATGTGATCTTAGGACCAGGGTTTAAAGCCAGCTTGAAGACTTTCATCTCCAATAAGCTACCAAAAAGCTGAAAGTGGATCTATAGCTCAAGTGGTAAAGCACTAGCTTTGAGGCAAAAAGAAGCTCATGGACAGTGCCCAGGCCCTGAGTTCAAGCCCAGGGCCAGCACAAAAACTATCTATGGCTAAAAAAAAAAAAAATTAAGAAAAAAGACTTGTCTATATGTTATGACAGATTTTAACATGCACTTCGCTACTGTGGATGGAGGAGTCTAAGCTGCACAGCTTCTTTGGAGGGTGAAGCAGCAATATTCAAGTAACAGAAAATGAGAACACCTTGGACAATTTTATAAAATGTGGCAGATGCAGGGAACTGCAGCCATCTGCCAGACACAACTTTGCATCAGAAGTAAGTAAATAACCCTGGCATACAAACTAACACTCGAAGGGAGAGTCTTTAACTCCCATTTCCTGTATAGGGAGCAGGAAATGTTTCTTTTTTCCATTTCTCCCTACTTTAATCCTGTTATATCAAAATAAACCCTCCCCGCCTTTAACTGTCAAAAAGACAGTAACACTTGAAATGTGGTGTATAAAACCAGTCTTGTTACTGACCAGTACAAGTGTTCTGTGCCATGGGAAGACGCAGCCCACCACAATGGTTATCTCTGGGCAGGGAGAATGACAGCCCTCTACCACTTGAGGGGCTATGGCCCCACTTCCAGTTTTTGAGTGGTTAGTTGGAGATAAGAATATTATGGGGAGCTGGGCACCAGTGGCTCATGCCTGTAATCCTAGCTATTCAGGAGGCTGAGATCTGAAGGATCGCAGTTCAAAGCCAGCCTGGGCATGAAAGTCCGTGAGACTCTTATCTCCAATAAAACCACCAGAAAACCGGAAGTGGCACTGTGGCTCAAGTGGTAGAACACTCACCTTGAGCTGAAGAGTGCAGGGACAGTGCCCAGGCCCAGAGTTCAAGCCCCACGACCAAAAAAAAAAAGAAAAGAAAGAAATTTCATGGGGATTTTTCTGTCAGGGCTGGCTTTGAGCCCATGATCCTTGGATCTTAGCATCCTGAGGAACTAGGATTAGAGGCGTGAACCATTGGTGCTTGGCTCAGAAAGGCGTTTCTAAATTGCTTCAATTTTTTTTTTTTTTGGGTCCGGTCGTGGGACCTGAACTCTGGGCCTGGGTGCCGTCCCTCAGCTCTTCAGCTCAAGGTTAGCGCTCTACCACTTGAGCCACAGTGCCACTTCCGGATTTTTCTTTTTGCTTATGTGGTACTAGGGAATCAAACCCAGGGTCTCATGCATGCAAGGCAAGCGCTCTACCACTGAGCCACCTTCCCAGCCCAATTGCTTCAATTTTTAGCAAGAGGTATTTAGTTTAATAATTTTTAAAAAATTTACAAAAAGGACCAAGGTTGTCAGGAGTGGTAAGACACACCTGTAATCCCAGCACTGAGGAGGCTAAGGAAGAGCGATTATAAATCTGAGGCCAGCCTCTGGTACCATGACCTCTACCCAAGAGAGAAAAAAGCTTTCTAGTCATTTTGATGGGTGAAGAGAGGGCAGAACACATGGCTCCTACAGCAAGTCTCAGAAGTGGTCCTTTGTGCTTGCTTTCTGTAGGTGTGAGGATGCTGGATGCTGCTTATCACGGCAGCTGTGCTGGCAGCACATTTCCCAGCCGTTAACAACTACTAAATCCTCTGCATATCACCCTTATAACATTAAAAAATTAAACTGGTGGCCGCTGGTGGCTCACGCCTGTCATCCTAGCTACTCAGGAGGATGAGATCTGAAGTTCGCAGTTCAAAGCCAGCCCAGGCAGCAAAGTGTGTGAGACTCTTATCTCTAATAAACCACCAGAAAACCAGAAGTGGCGCTGTGGCTCAAGTGGCAGGTTACTAGCTTTGAGCTGAAGAGCTGAGGGACAGTACACAGGCCGAGTTCGAGCCCCACGACCAACAAAAAATTAATTAAATAAATAAACCAACATAGGTAAGCCCTGCTAGAACCTAAATCTTACGTTAATTTTGTAGCTGATTCGGAAGCAAAATGAACCTAAGACTTCAGGGACTAGAAGTTCAAAATTTACAGAAGATTTTAAAACTTGTCAAAAATTATGAGGCAGGGAATAAGGCTTGGTTCAAATGGAAGAATGCTTGCTTAGCAAGTATGAGACCCTGAGTTCAAACCCCAGTTCCAAATAAATAAATAAGCAAATAAATGAAACAACAATGTACATACTAGAAAGGCAGGTGAGGGATGGAGCTCAGCTATCCTATGTGGGGGAGGGGGGCATCTTGACCCCCTCTCCTTGTGCTCATTTTATCCTTTTCCTTTTTTTTTTGGGGGGTCCGGTCGTGGGGCCTGAACTCTGGGCCTGGGCGCTGTCCCTCAGCTCTTCAGCTCAAGGCTAGCGCTCTACCACTTGAGCCACAGCACCACTTCCGGCTTTTTTCTTTTTGCTTATGTGGTGCTGAGGAATCGAACCCAGGGCCTCATGCATGCAAGGCAAGCGCTCTACCACTGAGCCACCTTCCCAGCCCCTTGTGCTCATTTTAGACCAAGTCTAAGGATTTCACTTGTCGTCCTCTATGGTCTTACATATTCCTCCCCCACCAGCCCACAGTGATTTTTAACCCTTCAACATTCCCTCCTCTCCCTAGAATCTGAAAAGGAATGGAACAGCTTAGAGCATAGATTAGTGTGGACCTTACCTTTGCTCCCCCAGGACTGCTCGAGCACCAAAATACCTTTTCAGTTCTGTGTCTGGATTCAAGTGTCTAGAGAATTGAAATTTTTAGAAAGAAAAATTAAGTTTTGTTCTGCTATAATGATTCTGGGAATTTTAGGGAGCCATGTAAGAATCTAGTAACTCTGGTTTGAAAATCACTGCCCTGCCTACGGTGAGGCCGCTGACGGACGCCAACAGGGGAAGCAGCCGTCCTGCTGGAATAAGACACCTGGAGCCGGTCTCTCACATGGCATTTGTCTGTGAGGATGTTAGGGCTTCCTAAACACCTGAAACTAGAACACAGTATTCCAAAGAACTCTAGGTGACACATTTTTGTGGGGGAAGGGGACAGTACTGAAGCTTGAATAAAAAGGCCTCAATGCTTGCTAGGCAGGCATTCTACCACTGAAACCATGCCATGCCCAGAGCCTTGTTTTTGTTTCAATATAGTAAGATCCTGACTCCCTCAAAATAATAAATAATAATAATAATAATAATAGCACTGCTGGCTCACGCCTGCAATCCTAGCTACTCAGGAGGCTGAGATCTGAGGATCGCAGTTCAAAGCCAGCCTGGGCAGGAAAGTCCATGAGATTCTTATCTCCAATGAATCACTCAGAAAAAAAACCAGAGTGATGCTGTGGTTCAAGTGGCAGAGTGTTAGCCTTGAGCAAAGAATCTCAGGGTCAGGGCTGGAAAGGTGGCTCAGTGATAGAGTGCTTGCCTTGTATGCCTGAGGCCCTGAGTTCAATTCCTCAGCACCACATAAGCAAAAAGAAAAAAGCTGGAAGTGGCACTGTGGCTCAAGTGGTAGAGCGCTAGCCTTGAGCTGAAGAGCTAAGGGACAGTGCCCAGGCCTAGAGTTCAGGTCCCATAACCGGACCCCAAAAAAAAAAAAAGGGGCTGGGAAGGTGGCTCAGTGGTAGAGCGCTTGCCTTGCAAGCCTGAGGCCCTGGGTTCAATTCCTCAGCACCATATAAGCAAAAAGAAAAAAGCCGGAAGTGGTGCTGTGGCTCAAGTGGTAGAGTGCTAGCCTTGAGCTGAAGAGCTGAGGGACAGCACCCAGGCCCAGAGTTCAGCCCCCATAACTGGACCCACCCCCCCCAAAAAAAAGAATCTCAGGGTCAGTGCCCAGGCCGTGCATAAAATAAAAAAATAAGCCAAGGCCTTAGTTCAAGCTCTGGTACTGGTGTGTATGCATGTGCCTGAGTGCGTGCATGCGCGCACGTGCACACACATGCACGCACACACGTAATAACCAGATTTCAGTGCATATCTATAAGACCAAGAGATGGATAACCACCCAAGGATAACAGTACTTTTAGTTATTTCTAAACTGTAAGGGAGGGACAAAGAACAGTGACAGAACGTGAGGTACGTGAGAAGCAGTGTATGAATGTGTGAACATGTCACGATGAACCTCCTTGTACAACTAGTATATGCTAATTAAAAAGTTTAACTAAAGAAAGCAACCGAAACAAAACAAACTGAGCACAAGTGATTCATGCCTATAATCCTAACTACTAAGGAAGCTGAGATCTGAGGAGCCTGTTTCAAAGCCAGTCCAAGCAGGAAAGTCCCTGAGACTTTCTGATTAACCGCCACCAAGCTGAAGTAGAGCTGTGGCAAGTAGTAGAGTAGTAGCCTTGAGCACAGCAGCTCAAGGACAGTGCCCAGATAGCCCCAGGACTACCATCAACAAAAACAAAAAACAACTAAAGTTGGGTGCCTGGGGGCTCACACCTATAATCCTGTATCAGGAGGTGGGAGGTGAGGCCAGCCAAAACAGATAAACATGGAAGACTTTTATCCCCAATTAACCAGGAAGAAGCTAAAAGTGGCAGAGCGCCAGCTGTGAGGGAAAAAAAAAAAAAAAGCTCAAGTCCCTGAGTTCAAGCCCTATTACCAAAATATAAAATCAACCTATAGGGCCAGGCCTAATGGCTTACACCTGTAATTCCAGTTTCCCAGGGCAGAGATCAAGAAGATTATAGTTTGTGGCTAGCCTGGGAAAACTTAGTAAGACGACAACCCCCCACCCCAGCCCCCGACAAACCAGGCACTGTGGTTTCACACCTGTAATCCTAACTACTCAGAAGGCTGAGATCTGAGAATCACAGTTTGAAACCAGCCAGGGCAGGATACTCTTATCTCTAATTAATCCCCCAAAAGTCAGAAGTCTAGCTGTGGCTCAAGTGGAAGAGCACTAGCCTTGAATAAAAAAGCTCAGGAACAGCACCTAGGACCCAAGTTCAAGGCCCACAGCAGACAAAAAGGTGTGAGGACAAGACACAGCTCGGTGTTGGTGGCTCACACCTATAATCCTAGTTACTCTGGAGGCTGAGAGCTAAGAATTGTGGTTGGAAGCCAGCTCAGGTAGAAAAGTCCCCAGGAGACTTTTTTTTTTTTTGGTTGGTCGTGGGGCTTGAACTCAGGGCTTGAGCTCTTCAGCTCAAGGTGAGCGCTCTACCGCTTGAGCCACAGCGCCACTTCCGGTTTCCTAGTGCTTTATTGGAGATAAAGAGTCTCACAGACTTTCCTGTCCAAGCTGGCTTTGAACCATGATCCTCAGATCTCAGCCTCCTGAGTAGCTAGGATTACAGGCATGAGTCACCAGTGCCCGGCTTTCAGGAGACTCTTATCTCCAATTAACCACTCAAAAACTGGAAGTGCTGCCAGGTGCGGTGGCTCATGCCTGTCTGTCATCCTAGCTACTCAGGAGGCTGAGATCTGAAGATCACAGTTCACAGCCAGCTTGACAGGAAAGTACGTGAGACTCTTTATCTCCAATAAAGCACTAGAAAATTGGAAGTGGCGCTGTGGCTCAAGCGGTAGAGTGCTCGCCTTGAGCTGAAGAGCTGAGGGACAGCGCCCAAGCCCAGAGTTCAAGCCCCACGACTGATAAAAAAAAAAACACAAAAAAACCTGGAAGTGGAATTGTGGCTGAAAGTGGTAAAGGGTCTAGGTACTTACTGTCCCTGATCCCCAAGTTCAAGCCTCAGGACGACCACCACAGGCTGGCCTAAGGGAAAAAGTCTGACATCTGGAAAATAACTAAAGCAAAAAAAAAAAAAAAAAAAAGGCTAGGCACATGGCTAAAGTGGCTGAGTACCACCTAGCAAGCCTGAGGCCCTGAGTCCAAACAGTACCACCAGAGAAATGTAAATGTTAAAATCCTCTAAAATATGCATACATTTTCCCTTTCTTTTTTTTCTCCAAAAGGTTATTCCATAAAAGTTTAATGATAATTTATTTTTTATGTTTTTGTCGGCCATGGTGCCTGAACTCTGGGCCTGGGTGCAGTCCCTCAGCTCTTTAGCTCAAGGCTATTAGCTCTACGACTTGAGCCACAGAACCACTTCCGATTTTTTCTGCTTATGTGGTGCTGAGGAATCGAACCCAGAGTCTCATGCATGCAAGGCAAGCGCTCTACTACTGAGCCACCTTCCCAGCCCTAAGGATAAATTCTTACGACCATATTTTTTAAGGAATTTTATGCTTCCCCCTCCCTAGTACGTAGATAGAACCTAGGGTTTTCTATGAACTCCCCAGACCTTACCACTATTTTTCTTTTTGTGCCAGTCCTGGGTTTTGAACACAGGGCTTGGATGCTATCCATGAGTGTTTCTGCTCAAGGCTAGTGCTCTACCACTTGAGCCACAGCTCCACTTCTGGCTTTTTGGTGGTTAGTTGGAGATAAGAGTTTCACAGGCTTTCCTGCCTGGGCTGGCTTTGAACTATGATCCTTAGATCTCAGCTTTCCCAGTTGCTAGGATTGTAGGTGTGAGCCACCAGCCCTCAGCTCACACCTTTAAAATAAACACAGTAAAGACAGTCAACTTTCTACTTTTAGTCCCCCATGATGGAAGAGCTGTACCTGTGCTCCACATGTAGCACATGCTTTCTAGAGCTTAGAGGAGGGGGGCCTGGGCAGCTGAATTCACTGCTGTCCTCAATTCTCTCCAAGATGCGATCAATATCTTCCAGTCCATGTTCCTAAAAGTCCAGAACAACGTGTTAATAACCACTTTGACCTTTTAGTTTTTTTGTCAGTCACGGGGCCTGAACTCTGGGCCTGGGTGTTGTCCACTCAGCTCTTCAGCTCAAGGCTAGCGCTCTGCCACTTGAGCCACAGCACCACTTTCAACTTTTTCTGCTTATGTGGTGCTAAGGAATTGAACCCAAGGTCTCATGCATGTAAGGTAAGCACTGTACCACTGAGCCACCTTCCCAGCCCTTTTATTTTCTTTCTTTTTTTTTTTGGCCAGTTCGGGGGCTTGAACTCAGGGCTTGTGCACAGTCCCTGAGCTAGCACTTTACCACTTGAGCCACACCACCACTTCTGGCTATTTTTGTGTAAGTGGTACTGAGGAATTGAACCCAGGGCTTCCTGCATGCTAGGCAAGCACTCTACCACTAAGCTATACTCCCAGCCCGAAGTTTTGGATGTAGAAAAAGCCGGAAGTGGTGCTCAAGCGGTAGAGTGCTAGCCTTGAGCAAAAGACAGTGCCCTGGCACTGAGTTCAAGGCCCATGACTGGCAAAAAAACAAACAACAACAACAAAAAAACACTCAAAAAAACCTAAACAACCGTGCAACAAAGTCTTCAGTTCTATCATGTAGACATTTTGATAAAGGTAAGTAGCAGCCCAAACAAGCACATTAGTATTCACTGTTCTCTTAGCCAAACAGAAAACTTCAAGGCTAGCTACTGCTTTGTACAAGTTACAAATAAATGCTTATTACTTTTTCATGGATAAAGCTCTGTGACATTCAAAAAACTATAAGGGAAAAAAATTAATCCTTTCTTCAAAGAATAGTAAATTTTTTTTTTTGGTGAGAATGTTGAAAGGGGTGACACTGATTAAGATATATTCATAACTGCTTTGTTAAGTGGCAATTCCTTTATACAACTACTTAAATAAAAAATAATTTTTTGTTTGATTTTATTGTTGCATTGTAGATCCAAATGAGTTAATGTCCTCTAGTAAGTGAAATATGGTTTGTAAATCCCAGTAGATAGCACAAAGCTACAACTTTTCAACACAAACAGAATCAAGACCTCAAGGCAAGAAGGGGAACAAATTCTCTAAGGACAGACTAGCCTGTCAACCATTTTTCTTTCTGGCAGGGGTGGGGAGGGAGATGGCTAGCAATGGTGCATGAACTCAGGGCCTCAAGCTCTCACTTGGTTAGTTCACTACCACGTAAGACACATCTCTACTTTTGGCTTTTGCTACTTATTTGGAAATAAGTCTCTCAGCTGGTGGCTCATGCCTGTAATCCCAGCTACTTAGGAGGATCAAACAGTTTGAAGCCAGCCTGACAAGAAAGTCTATGAGACTCATATCTCCAATTAATCACTGAAAAAGCTAGAAGTAGTGCTGTAGCCGAAATGCTAGAGTGCTAGCCTTGAGCAAAAGGAACTTAGGAACAATCCAGAGTTCAAGGCCCAGGACCGGTCAAAAAGAAAAATTCTCTAAGATTTGTCTGTCTCAGCTGGTTCCAAATCAATGTTCAGATCTTTGCCTACTGAGTAGCTATAATTGTGTAGATGAGCCTGGACCATCTGTATCTACTACACAGTTAAGCTGTTAGCCTAAGAAAAAAGTCAGACAGTGATCTTCACACAGTGTAACAGGACAGAGCTGGGGAAAGCTCTCTACTGAAAAGAGCTACTTATAATTATTTTTGTACAGTACAGGAGTTTGAACTAAAGATCTTGAACTATGGCTTAGCTTCTTCCTTTTTTGAGAGGGTGGAGGAAGGTGAGGGTCAGTCAGAACTCAAGACCTGGGTGTTGCCCCTGAGCATTTTTTTTTTGCTCAAATCTAGTGCTCTAACACTTAGCACTACCAGTTTTTTGGTGGTAAATTGGAGATAAGAGTCTCATGACTTTTCCTTTCTGGGCAATCTTCAGCCCCCTGAATAGCTAGGATTACAGGCATGAGCCACCAGTACTGACTCGCTTAGCTTTTACATCCATGGATGTACTTGAGCCATGCCCTCACTCCCAACTTTTTGCTGGCTAGCTGCATTTTAAGTCTCACAGGCTGAGCACCAGAGGCTCACGTCTGTAATCCTAGCTACTTTAGGAGGCTTAAGACCTGAGGATTTCAGGTTCAAAGCCAGCCTGGGCAGGAAAGTCAGAGACTCTTATCCCCAAGTAATCACTGAAAAAAGCCAAAAGTGCTGGCCAGGCGTCTGTGGCTCATGTCTGTAATCCTAGCTACTGAGGAGGTTGAGATCTGCAGTTCCACGCCAGCCTGGGCAGGAAAGTCCATGAGACTCTTATCTCCAATAAAAACCACTCAGAAAACCGGAAGTGTTACTGTGGCTCAAGTGCTAGAGTCCTTGCCTTGAGCTGAAGAGCTGAGGGATAGCATCCAGGCCCAGAGTTCAAGCCTCATGACCAAAAAAAAAAAAAAAAAAATCATCAGGAGCACTGTGGTTCAAGTGATAGAGTGCTAGCCTTGGGCAAAATGGAACTCAGGGCTCAGGAACAGTGCCGAGAGTTCAAGCTCCAGGGCTTGGGAGTCTCACAGACTTTTCTGCCCAGGTTGGATTTGAACCCTGTTCTCAGACTCCTGAGTAGCTAGAATTATAGGCATGAACCAGAGGCACCTGGCAAAACACAGTTTCTAATTTCTGTTCAAACTTGGAACCAAGAGTAGGCTGTGACCAAGAGGAAAAGGTAGGCTGGGCATGTGGCTTAGTGGTAGAATGCTTGCTTAGCTCGCATGAAGCCCTGGGTGTGATTCCTCAGTACCACATACACAGAAAAGGTGGAAGTGGCCAGTGGCAGAGTGTAAGCCTTAAGTGAAAGGAGGACTGGGGGGGGGTAGGGGGGAAGGAAGAGGAAGAGGAGGAGGAAGAAGAGGAGGAGGAGGAGGGGAGGGAGAGGAAGGGGGAGGAAAGGTAGCAAAACAAGTACATTTTCCTTTTCTTTTTCTTTCCTGGCAGTCCTGGAGCTCAAACTCTAGGCTTTGGTGCTGTCCCTGAGCTACTTTTCACTCAAGGCTACCATTTGAGCCACAGCACCACTTCCAGCTTTTTCTGTGATTAATTGGAGATATGAGTCTCATGGACTTTCCTGCCTGGGCTGGCTTCAAACCATAACCCTCAGATCTCAGCCTCCTGAGTAGCTAGGATTACAGGCGTGAGCTGCCAGCATCTGGCCATTTCCTGTTTCTTTACCTGACTCTGCTTCTTCCACTGGGAAGGAACCAAACTATCAAGTGAAAATAAACTTTTTCTAGCACCAACTTGAGGAACCCAGCCAGAAAAGAAGAAAAAAGGCTTAAGGAGACTAACCAGATTAGGTCTGATACATACCGAGGATTCTCCTGGACAATTTTTCTTATTTTTCTGCTTCTTTTTCTTCTTTCGGAGTTTGCTACTTGCATTACACTAATAAAAGGAGACATTTCAAGCCATAGAAAGGAAAGTAAAAATCTTAAATCATGAGAAGCTGTCACTATCCCCTTCCTTGCCGAGCAAGACCCCTCACCTTACTTTCATGCTGGAAATCTCCCACGGACGTCCTCCCAGCCATGGGGTAACCTCTGGACCTGCTTCAGAGTTCCCCATGACCTGAGTATCAAGATGGCTCAGTAGGCTTTTGTACTCTACTTGGCCAACCACTCCCTGCACACTTCAGTAATCCTGAAGACAGGTCCTCCCAGGGACTCCTGCCTCAGTGCTCCCCCACACCTGCTCTGGAATAACTTCTTCCATGAGACCCCAGGCCTCACTAGCTGGAACAAACACTCCCACAAGACCACCACGGGTCTCAAGAATTTCAATGCAAATTTCATGAGGGCTCCTGTGAGAATTTTAAACAACTAGGTAATTAACATAAGTGAACTAAGAAAAGTGAGCTGCCAAGAAATTGGCAGAATTAAGTACAAGGTTGCCACCCTGAGCCCTCCTCCCTCCAGCATACTCTGACCTTCTCTTTACCATGGGCCACATCACCTGTTCTGGGGTTTCTGCCTTGGCTGTGTGTCCATTGCTCTTGCTCACTTTCTCTGGGCTTCCATGCTCAGCTTGCCCTTTATCTCCAGCCAGCGTACAATCAGACCTCTCCCCAGTCACTCCAGAGTCACCCTCAAGATCCTCAATGTTTATCTGGAGAACAGATGGGAGGAAAACAGTCAGGTGCAGTGATGCTCAGACAGTCAAAAAGGAGAGGCAGACTCAGAGGGATCAGGGCCAGATGGTAGGACGGAGGACTATCTCCTCCTATGCAGCACAATTCTAGCCAAACAAGTTCAGGCTCAGTCAGGGAATACTAGAGAAATTTGTGTGGCGTATGGCATTTGTCTTCAAAGACAACACCAACAAAAATCCCCCACATTATCATTTATATCCAATTACCAAGCACCAGCCAAATGCAAACTTTCAAATACACAGCTGAGTAGTGAGGGTCTGTCTTTCCATTGCCTGCTTAAGCCTCAGCTCATAAGGCAGAACAGACAAGAGGCTAGGGGAAAGAGTACACCTATAAACATTTTTGAGTGGTGCTGGGTGGGCATGGATGGTTCACACCAGTAATACTGGCAACGCCTAGCTGAGAGCTGGAGGATTACAGTTTGGTTCTTCAACAATATGTCCTCTTCTAAAACACTAGTAATGGCTGGGCTGGAGGTGTGGCTCAAGTGAGAGTGCCAGTGCAGCAAGAACAAGGCCATAGGGCTGGGAAGTTGGCTCAGTGGTAGAGTGCTTGCCTTGCATGCATGAGGCCCTGGGTTCGATTCCTCAGCACCACATAAGCAAAAAGCCGGAAGTGGCTCTGTGGCTCAAGTGGTAGAGCGCTAGCCTTGAGCTGAAGAGCTGAGGGACAGCGCCCAGGCCCAGGCCCAGAGTTCAGGCCCCACGACTGGACCCAAAAAAAAAAAAAAAAAGAACAAGGCCATAGCTGGTCGTGGGTGGCTCACGCCTGTAATCCTAGCAACTCAGGAGGTTGAGATCTGAGGATCACAGTTCAAAGCCAACCCAGGAAGGAAAGTCAGTGAGACTCTTATCTCCAATTAACCACCAGAAAAAGTGGTGCTGTAGCTCAAGCGGTAGAATGGTCATCTTGAGTTGAAGAACAAAGGGACAGCAACCAGGCCCAGAGTTCAAACCCCATCACTGACAAAAAAACAAAACAAAACAAAACAAAAAAACCAAGGCCATAAGTACAGACTTTAGTATATCTAATATAAATAGTGGTCCTTTGCCTTTTTTTTTTTTTTTTTTTTGCAGTCATGAAGCTTGAACTCTGGGCCTGGGTGCTGTCCCTCAGCTCTTCAGCTCAAGGCTAGCGCTCTACCACTTGAGTCACAGAGCCACTTCCGGCTTCTTCTACTTATGTGGTGCTGAAGAATCAAGCCCAGGGCCTCATGAATGCAAGGCAAGCACTCTACCACTGACCCATCTTACCAGCCCAATATGAAGATTTTATACATAAAATGGTATAGTATTTGTACATAATCCATACAATCCTCAGTCCTGTATAATTGTGTGTGTGTGTGTGCGTGTGTGCGTGCACATGCGCGTGTGCTAATAATGGGGCTTGCACTAAGGGGCTCCACCTCTTGCTTGGCTTTTTTTGTTCAAAGCTGGTATTCTAGGGCTGGGAAGGTGGCTCCACAGTAGAGTGCTTGCTTCACATGCATGAGGCCATGGGTTCAATTCCTCAGTACCACATAAACAGAAACAGCCGGAAGTGGTGCTGTGCTGAAGTGGCAGAGTGCTAGCCTTGAACTGAGGAGCTGAGGGACAGTACTCAGGCCCAGAGCTCAAGCCCCATGACAGACAATAAATAAATAAATAGCCGGGCGCTGGTGGCTCACGCCTGTAATCCTAGCTACTCAGGAGGCTGAGATCTGAGGATCGCGGTTCAAAGCCAGCCCGGGCAGGAAAGACTGTGA